TCCGACCATTCTCTGCCTGACCCCCTGTACCTACCTGCCCGTTAGTTGCTGTACCCGGCTCGTGACCTGACTACTCTCTGCCTGCTCCTCCTGTTCCTACCTGCCCGATTGTTATTGACCCGGCCTGCCTGACTACGCTTGCATTGTATGTATTGTTTATCTGTGGGTGGCTTGGTTTGGTCCGTTTGCACTTTGTTTATTGTTTTAGTATTGCACTGCGTTTTGTATTGTTAGTATTTAATAAATTATATTGTTTATAACATATCTGAAGCCTGCGTTTCCCTGCGTCAGTTCACATACCTCTGGTCATACCCAGCCCTGACATTACACCAAGGCCAATCCTGACCAGAAGTGGCTGCACAGGAAGCCATCTTGGCTTGTTGCTGGGAAGGATGGATCTTGATGAGGTTGGTGTATTTGTCGCTGCTGGGTTTTTGATGACAGAGAATCCAGACGATCCAGTACCTGATGACCCGGTGCCCGCTATCATGCCTGGTTCCCCGATGCCCGCTGTCGAGACCAGACGATCCAATGCCTGATGACCCAGTGCCCGCTGTCATGCCTGGTGACCCGATGCCCGCTGTCGAGCCAGACGATCCAGCGCCAGATGATGACCCGGTGCCTGCTGTCAAAGCCAGACGATCCGGTACCTGATGACCCGGTGGGTGCTGCCCGCTGTCGTGCCAATTGACTCAGAGCCCACTGTCGTGCCTGTGACTCGGTGCCCACTGCCTTGCCAGATGACGCGGTGCCCGCTGGCGAGCCAAATGACCTGATGCCTGGTGACCCAGTGCCCGCTGTCATACCTGGTGACCCGATGCCCGCTGTCGAGCCAGGCGATCCAATGCCTGATGACCCAGTGCCCGCTGTCATGCCTGGTGACCCGATGCCCGCTGTCGAGCCAGGCGATCCGGTACCTGATGACCCGGTGCCCGCTGTCATACCATGGTGACCCGATGCCCGCTGTCGAGCCAGACGATCCAATGCCTGATGACCCAGTGCCCGCTGTCATGCCTGGTGACCCGATGCCCGCTGTCGAGCCAGACGATCCAGCGCCAGATGACCCGGTGCCCTGCTGTCAAGCCCAGATGATCCGGTACCTGATGACCCGGTGCCCGCTGTCGTGCCAATTGACTCAGAGCCCACTGTCCGTGCCTGGTGACTCGGTGCCCACTGCCTTGCCAGATGACGCGGTGCCCGCTGTCGAGCCAAATGGCCTGATGCCTGGTGACCCGATGCCCGCTGTCGAGCCAGACGATCCAATGTCTGACCCAGTGCCCGCGGTCATGCCAGTTGACTCGGAGCCCACTGTCGTGCCTGGTGACTCGGTGCCCACTGCCTTGCCAGATGACGCGGTGCCCGCTGGTGAGCCAAATGACCTGATGCCTGGTGACCCAGTGCCCGCTGTCATACCTGGTGACCCCGATGCCCGCTGTCGAGCCAGACAATCCAATGCCTGATGACCCAGTGCCCGCTGTCATGCCTGGTGACCGATGCCCGCTGTCGAGCCAGACGATCCGGTACCTGATGACCCGGTGCCCGCTGTCATTAAGGGATGGCCAGACCTGCAGTCTGGGCCTTGGTGTGTGGTTTTTCCATGGGCCCCTGTACCTTGTTACCTGCATTCCTGTTCCTGCCTGACTGACTCGTTGCCGACCCTGCCTGATCCTGACCTCTGCTGACTTCTCCCGTTTGATCCCTGGCTTGTGACCCCGACCATTCTCTGCCTGACCCCCTGTACCTACCTGCCCGTTTAGTTGCTGTACCCGGCTCGTGACCTGACTACTCTCTGCCTGCTCCTCCTGTTCCTACCTGCCCATTGTTATTGACCCGGCCTGCCTGACTACGCTTGCATTGTATGTATTGTTATCTGTTTGGTGGCTTGGTTTGGGTTCGTTTGCACTTTGTTTTATGTTTTAGTATTGCACTGCGTTTTGTATTGTTAGTATTAATAAATTATATTGTTTAAATAACATATCTGAAGCCTGCGTTTCCTGCGTCAGTTCACATACCTCTGGTCATACCCGGAGCCCTGACATTACACCAAGGCCAATCCTGACCAGAAGTGGCTGCACAGGGAAGCCATCTTGGCTTGTTTGCTGGAAGGATGGATCTTGATGAGGTTGTGTATTTGTCGCTTGCTGGTTTTGATGACAGAGAATCCAGACGATCCGGGTACCTGATGACCGGTGCCCGCTGTCATGCCTTGGTTCCCCGATGCCGCTGTCGAGCCAAACGATCCAATGCCTGATGACCCAGTGCCCGCTGTCATGCCTGGTGACCCGATGCCCGCTGTCGAGCCAGACGATCCAGCGCCAGATGACCCGGGTGCCTGCTGTCAAGCCAGACGATCCGGTACCTGATGACCCGGTGCCCGCTATCGTGCCAATTGACTCAGAGCCCACTGTCGTGCCTGGTGACTCGGTGCCCACTGCCTTGCCAGATGACGCGGGTGCCCGCTGGCGAGCCAAATGACCTGATGCCTGGTGACCCGATGCCCGCTGTCGAGCCAGACGATCCAATGTCTGACCCAGTGCCCGCGGGTCATGCCAGTTGACTCGAGCCCACTGTCGTACCTGGTGACTCGGTGCCCACCTGCCTTGCCAGATGACGCGGTGCCCGCTGTCGAGCCAGACGATCCGGTACCTGATGACCCGGTGCCCGCTGTCATACCTGGTGACCCGATGCCCGCTGTCGAGCCAGACGATCCAATGCCTGATGACCCAGTGCCCGCTGTCATGCCTGGTGACCCGATGCCCGCTGTCAGAGCCAGACGTTCCAGCGCCAGATGATCCGGTGCCTGCTGTCAAGCCAGACGATCCGGTACCTGATGACCCGGTGCCCGCTGTCGTGCCAATTGACTCAGAGCCCACTGTCGGTGCCTGTGGTGACTCGGTGCCCACTGCCTTGCCAGATGATGCGGTGCCCGCTGTCGAGCCAAATGACCTGATGCCCTGGTGACCCGATGCCCGCTGTCGAGCCAGACGATCCAATGTCTGACCCAGTGCCCGCGGTCATGCCAGTTGACCTATCGGAGCCCACTGTCGTGCCTGGTGACTCGGTGCCCACTGCCTTGCCAGATGACGCGGTGCCCGCTGGCGAGCCAAATGACCTGATGCCTGGTGACCCAGTGCCCGCTGTCATACCTGGTGTGACCGATGCCCGCTGTCGAGCCAGACGATCCAATGCCTGATGACCCAGTGCCCGCTGTCATGCCTGGTGACCCGATGCCTGCTGTCGAGCCAGACGATCCGGTACCTGATGACCGGGTGCCCGCTGTCATACCTGGTGACCCGATGCCTGCTGTCAAGCCAGACGATCCAATGTCTGACCCAGTGCCCGCGGGTCATGCCAGTTGACTCGGAGCCCACTGTCGTGCCTGGTGGACTCGGTGCCCACTGCCTTGCCAGATGACGCGGTGCCCACGAGGTGGGCGAGCCAAATGACCTGATGCCGTGGTGACCCAGTGCCCGCTGTCATACCTGGGTGACCCGATGCCGCTGTCGAGCCAGACAATTCCAATGCCTGGTTGACCCTGATGCCCGGCTGTTTCGAGCCAGACGATCCAATGCCTGATGACCCAGTGCCCACTGTCATGCCTGCTGACCGCAGTTGCCCGCGGGTCATGCCAATTGACTCGGAGGCCCACTGTCGTGCCTGGTGACTCGGTGCCCACTGCCTTGCACAGATGACGCGGTACCCGCTGGCGAGCCAAAATGACACTGATGCCTGGTGACCCAGTGCCGCGCTGTCATACCTGGTGACCCGATGCGCGCAGCTGTCGAGCCAGACGATCCAATGCCTGATGACCCAGTGCCTTGCTGTCATGCTCCTGGTGACCGATGCCCGCTGTCGAGCCCAGACGATCCGGTACCTGATGGACCCGGTGCCGACGCTGTCATACCTGTGAGTGACCCGAGTGAGCGCGCGGCTGTCGAGCCAGACGATCCAATGCCTGATGACCAGTGCTGCTGTCATGCCGTGGTGGACCCGATGCCCGCTGTCGAGCCAGACGATCCAATGCCCTGATGACCCGGTGCCCGCTGTCGATCCAGACGATCCAGGTACCTGATGACCCAGTGCCGCTGTCATGCGGCCTGGTGACATACGATGCCGCTGTCGAGCCAGAAGATCCAATGCCTGATGACTCCCAGTGCTGCTGTCATGCGCTGGTGACCTGATGCCCGCTGTCGAGCCAGACGATCCAACGCCAGATGACCCGGTTGCCCGCTGTCGAGCCAGACGATCCGCGGTACCTGATGACCCGGTTGCCCGCTGTCATGCCGTGTTCCCCGATGCCCCGCTGTCCGAGCCAGACGATCCAATGCCTGATGACCCAGTGCCCCAGCTGTCATTGCCTAGTGACCCAATGCCCGCTGTCGAGCCAGACGATCCAGCGCCAGATGACCGGTTGCCTGTTGTCAAGCCAGATGATCCGGTACCTGATGACACCGGTGCCCTGCGCTGTCGTGCCAAATTGACTCACAGAGCGCCACTGTCGTGCCTGGGTGACGCGGGTGCCCGCTATGGCGAGCCAAGCGTGCGATTGACCTGCATGCCTGGAGACCCGATGCCCTGCTGTCGAGCCAGACGATCCATTGTCTGGACCAGTTCGCCCCGCGCTCATGCTTCAGTTGACTCGGAGCCCACTGTCGTGCCTGGTGACTCGGTGCCCACTGCCTTGCCAGATGTACGCGGTGCCCGCTGGCGAGCCAAATGACCTGATGCCTGGTGAACCCAGTGCCCGCTGTCATACTGGTGACTAGCCGATGCCCGCTGTCGAGCCAGACAATCAATGCCTGATGACCCAGTGCCCGCTGTCATGCTGGTGACCCGATGCCCGCTGTCGAGCCAGACGATCCAATGCCTGATGACCAGTTGCCCACTGTTTCATGCCTGCTGACCCAGTGCCCGCGGTCATGCCAGTTGACTCGGAACCCACTGTCGTGGCCTGGTGACTCGGTGCCCACTGCTCATTGCAGATGACGCGGTGCCCGCTGGCGAGCCAAATGACCTGATGCCTGGTGACCTGATGCCCGCTGTCGTGCCTGATGACCCGGTGCCCGCGCCGCGTACCGCCTGGGGGCCCGGTGCCCGCCGCCCTCCTGGGGGCCCGGCGCCCTGCCGCTCCTCCTGGGTGCCCGGCACCTGTCCGCTGTCGCGCCATGGGCGGGCCCGATCGGCCTGTCGCCTGTAGCGCGGGCGATTGCTGTCGCTCCGCCTAGGGGCCCGATGCTGTCCGCTCAGCCTGGGGGCCGGTGGTTGCCTGCCAACTATCGCGGGTCCGCCTGGGGCCCGGTGCCTGACGCTCGCCTGGGGGCCCGGTGCCTGCGCTCCGCCTGGTGAATCCGGTGCGCCTGCCGCTCCGCCTGGTGATCTGGTGTCCAGCCCGATGTGCCTCTGCCCGGGGTGTCCTGCGCCGATGTGCCTCTGCCGTGGAGTCCAGCCCGATGTGCCTCTTGACCCGGAGTCCAGCGCCCGATGTGCCTCTGCCCGGAGTCCAGCCCGATGTGCCTCTGCCCGGTGTCCAGCCCCGATGTGCCGGCTGCCCGGGGAGTCCAGCCCGATGTGCCGCTGCCCGGAGTCCAGCCCGATGTGCCTCTGCCGGAGTCCAGCCGATGTGCCTCTGCCCGGAGTCCAGCCCGATGTGCCGCTGCCCGGAGTCCAGCCCGATGTTGCGCTGCCCGGAGTCCAGCCCGATGTGCCTCTGCCCGGAGTCCTGCCCGATGTGCCAGTCTTTGATATCCCGCCAGTGTTACCAGACCCCGGGCGGTGGAACATTTTGCCCCAGCTTAGGACTGTTTGGAGCGTCCTGAGGCCCGCTCCTTGAGGGGGGGGTACTGTCAGGAATGGACTTGCCAGTAATGGTGGGACTCACCTGCCTTGTGGGCTGCAGTACCAAGGGCTGGCCAGCGGGTGCTCTCAGCAATCAGAGACTCAACCCTGCAGTCAGTCAAACACCTTGAAGCTGATTATGGAGGTGCCCCCACGACCAACAACACACCACAGATTTTAAGGGATGGCCAGACCTCGCAGTCTGGGCCTTTGGTGTGTGTTTTTCAAGATGGGCCCCTGTATCTTGTTACCTGCATAGCATTCCTGTTCCTGCCTGCCTGCTGACTTCTCCTGTTTGAATCCCTGGCTTGTGACCTGACCATTCTCTGCCTGACCTCCTGTACCTACCTGCCCGTTAGTTGCTGTACCCGGCTCGTGACCTGGACTACTCTCTGCCTGCTCCTCCTGTTCCTACCTGCCTGATTGTTATTGACCCGGCCCGCCTGAATACGCTTGCATTGTATGTTATTGTTATCTGTTGGTGGCTTGGTTTGGTTCGTTTGCACTTTGTTTATGAGTGCCCAGAGGGCATAGCAGCCATATTGGAAAAGGGGCAAAACAAACACTGCATAATAGAAGTATACACTGGAAAATGGGCAAAAAAATTATCACATCACTACAAGTATAAGAAAAGACAAGTCTGCTGCAGAAGCACACACATGTGTGTACATGGCTAAAAGTGTTAAAATTAGGCTACATTTACTCCGGCGATTTAGGCCACTGGGAATTGCTGTGGCAGGAATCTATTACCTGTGATCTCTGGCTGTATGAAGAGCAGTGAATAGCTTCAGCCACCAGCAACCATATAAATATAGTGATTATATTAAAAGAACACCACCTAATAAAGACCTGTCTAAACAGAGCAGCCACATGTTAACAGGAACTATATTGTAAAAAGAGTTGCCTAAAATCTTAACAGCAGCCGCATATTAAAGGAAACTATATTGTGAAAAAGATCCGCCTAAAATCTCACATCTACCAATAACCTGTGTCACAGGCACTGTTTAAAGCACCAAGAAGTGCCTAGAACTTTAGAAGACTTGGCTCAAGGATTGGTATATATGTATTCCTGACAAAATAATATGATATAAATACATATAATATGAAATTAGTAAAAAAAACTGGTCAGAAATGTAATGTAATGTGCACAATTGCAAGAGACCTAAGATGTGGTGTAGTTAATAAGATAATCACCAACTTGAAAAATAATACCTGAGGGCCTGTTCACACATAATGTAGTGACTGGTGTTTTTAATGCAAGTCATCGCTAGGGCACATAGAAAACAGCTGAAAATCCCAAACCCAGGTTTTCACAAGAAGCTGTCTGCTACTTAGCTTCCACAGGTAGCTCCTCAGTGAGGAATATAAAAAAGATCCTGCTTCAGTCCAGTACTTCAGGAGCCCTCGAATGCTTTGGTAATCTTCACCCAGGCCCCTCAGCTCAAACTGCAATTCTTCAGTACACTCTAGTTGTCTCTCAGGGAGAACTTTTGGACTCAAGTGCAATTTACCTTCAATAAAGTACTGATTTTAACCTGGTCAGAGATCTGGCCAAATACTTGCTTCATCTCTGACTTCCCAAGACACAGATATAAACAATCCATCTGCCAAATGCTACTAAGGCATGTATCCCAACTCTCTGAAAGCAGGAGTTTTCCCCCACGGTCTCACACTCACTCTCAAGAGTGGCTAAAATTCCATTCCATGGAAAAACTTTTGATTTTTTTTTGCACAGTGAGGTAGAAAAAATTAGACAGAAGTGGTTCCACTGGACACCAGTGAATCTGGCAAGGTGCTTGCTGAGAGAGTGAGAATTCTTCCTTTTACCTCCCATACCCCCCCCCCCCCCCCATTGTTTCTCTTCTCTCTCTCCTCCCTTTTGTATTCTTCTTTTTACTCTTTTTCTCTTGTATGCAGCCTCAACTTAGAGTTTTGTTTCTGTTATGAAAAACTGTTCAGACAAGATTTCGGTAAGCTAACATGTTAAAGTCTTTGTGGTTGCTGTGCTGCAAAGCATGAAGTCTTCCAATAGCTGATACCCTCAATGGGTCTGGCATCAATATAAGGGGGAACGCCACACTTTATTTTTTTCTGTAGATATTAGGCTGCATTCACACCTAGGGATTTTGGAATTGCAAAATGCTGCCTGCGGTTTTGGGTGTCATTAACCGCTTACCGCCCGCCCGCAGTACTTTTACTGTGGCAGGGCGGACCCGCTGTGCAAACTCATGTGTGTATATATATATATATATATATATATATATATATGTAATTTTGCATTTCTGTGTAGGGGGCGTGCTCGAGGCACGCGACCGCCCTACGCGTGCCGCCGATTGCGGCCCCGAGTGTCAATCACACCCGCCGATTGCCAGCAAACACCAATCAGTGTGCTTACAGTGAAACACAGACCTCCCGCCCCTAGTAAAACACTCCCTTCACACAGTTAATTCTTTGCCTCCAAATGTTAACCCCTTCCTCCCCAGTCCCATTAGTACAGTGTCAGTGCTTTTTTTGCCGCCATAAGTCGCTAATCGCCGCCATTATTACAAAAAAATATATATATACATATATATATATATATATATATATATATATATATATGTATATATATAATATTCCAGTATCTATACTGCCATTTGTAATCGCTGTAACTTTCATGTAAACCAATTAATTTATACGTTTTGGGATTTTTTATTTTTAGCAAAGACATCTCACAGAATACATTTTGGCCTAAATTTTTGATGAAATTTTATTTAAAAAATTTTTACTGGACATATTTTATAGAAAAAAGTCCAAAATATTGTTTTGTTTTTTTTCTCAAAATTGTCGTTTTTTTTTTTATTTTATAGCGCAAAAAATAAAAGCTGCACAAACGATCAAATACCACCGAAAGAAAGCTCAATTCTTGGGAAAAAAAGGCCATAAATTTAATTTTGGTGCAGCGTTGTATGACCGCGCAATTGCCAGTTGAAATAACGCAGCGCCGTAATGCACCGCTTCTGTAACTGCTGCCTGACCGCCCTATAGCAGAAATACTGCTACAGGGCGGCACGGTTGCGCAAAATCACATATATATACGTGATTCCCGCTCCCGTGGTTTTCATCCCCTCTCAGACAGCGTCAGATTGCTCATCAGTACACCAGTAATCACATTTAACTCCTTGATTGCCAGGAACACACTTACACAATAAACCTCCATTGCTAGTATAGTGTCTGAACGGATCAATATCTTTGATCAGATCAGCACTATACCAGCATTCACATTACTATTGTGTCCCCAAAAATGCAATGTTAGCGGGATCAGTCCCGGCACCTGCATTTAGCCCCTACGCTTACCCTCCCCCCTTCTCCCCCAGCAAGTGCAGTGTCAGTAGGTCACTGTCACTTGCTACATTGCACACAAAACAGCAGTGTTCGCAGAATCAGCAACTGTACTTCCCCCATTCACTGCCCAACCAGGAATTCAGGTGGAAACAACAAATTTAACTACTCCCCTTGATTTTTTGGAGCTGTTTTTCACGGAAGATCTGTATGCATTGATTGTGGAAAGCAATTTATATGCACAACAATTTATCGCTGCCAACCCAAATTCAAACCTTGCCAGACCATTCACATGGAAACACATTATGGTTTCCAAATTTAAATTTTTTTGGGGCCTAACCCTCAACATGGGCATTACTAAAAAAAATTAATTGCAGTTGTATTGGTCCACAGACCCAATTCATCATATGCCCGTGTTCTCTGCTGTCAAGGCCAGGCATAGGTACGAGAGTATAATGTGTTTTATGCATTTCAACAACAATACACTCTGTTGTCTTCGGGGTGACCCTGAATTTGACCGGCTCCACAAAATTCGGTCCTTGAAAAATCACCTTAACCAAAAATTTGCAGATGTCTATACTCCCCAGCAAAACATCTGCGTTGATGAGTCCCTCATTAATTTTTCTGGCCGCCATGCATTCAAACCATTTCTCTCCAGCAAGCAATGGGGTCAAAATGTGTAAGACCTGTGAGAGGGCAACAGGCTATACATATAAGTTTCGGATTTATGAGGGAAAAGGTAGTCACGAGGAGCCCCGCGGATGCCCAGACTACATGGGGAGTAGTGGGCAAGATAGTTTGGGACTTGGTGTCATCCTTTTTCCATATGGGGTACGTGGACAATTTTTATACAAGCATGCCACTATTTAGGCATTTGTACAATCTTGGAATTTGCGCATGTAGCACCGTGCGACCTACTGTGTGCTCACCATTAGAAGTGGGTGGATGCAGGGTGGTATATTCTAATGGTGGTCAACCACTCACTTTTTCTGGCAGAGATTTCTTCTCTTTTTTTCACTCAGCCCACAGGCTGCATACACAAAAAACACTTGTGTGCGTGAGCGTTGACCCTGTGCCAGTATGTAAACAGCGGTTGCACCATGTATGTGAAGTATCACCGTGAACGTCAGATCAAGGTCAGTAATTCTAGCACTAGACCTCCACTGTAAATCTAAAATGGTAGCTTGTAAAGGCTTTTAAATAGTTGCCTATGGATATTAAAAATGTATGCAGTTTGTCGCCATTGTACGGGGCATGCGCAGTTTTAAAGCATGTCATGTTTGGTCTATTTACTCGGCATACCATCATATTTTATATTTTACCAAATAATTGGCCAATATATTGTGT